TGTTATATCATCTGCAAATAGTGACAGTTTTACTTCTTTCTAGCTTAGAAGCCTTTTATTTCTTTTTGTCTATTTGCCGTAGCTAGGATTTCAATACCATGTTGAATAAAAAAGTGTCTTGGTGCTGATAAAGTAAAAGCTTTCAGCTTTGCTCTGGGTTTGTCTATATTGCTTTTATTAGGTTAAGCTATGTTCTCTCTACCCCTACTCTGCTGAGAGTTTTGATCATAAATGGATGTTGGATTTTGTCAAATGCTTTTTCTGCATCTATTGATACATTCATATGATTTTTATCCATCATTTTGTTTATGTGGTGTATCATATTACCTGATTTGTGGATGTCGAACCATTCTTGCATTCTGGGAATAAATCCCACTTTTCGTGGTGTATGATCTTTTTAATGTATTGCTGAATTTGGTTTGCTAATATTTCATTGAGGATTTTTGCGTCTCTGTTCATCAGAGATTTTGGCTTATAATTTTCTTCTGTAATGTCTTTGCCTGGTTTTGGTTTCAGGGTAATGCTCGTTACGTAAAATGAGTTTCAGAGCCTTCTCTCCTCTTAAATTTTTTGAAGAGTTTGAGGAGGATAGGTATTACTTCTTTGAATGTTTGGTAAAATTCACCTGTGAAGCCTTTGGTTCAGGGCTTTTGTTTGTTGGGGGTTTTTGTTTCGTTTTGTTTTGTTTTTCCATTTAATACAGGGAATACTTACTCAACCCATCAGAGAAATGGACATTTTGGGTCTGTAACAAAGCATCATGTTTTAAAGTATAGGCCAGTAATTGTTTACTAATGAAGGGGGGACACAGAAACCCCAGAATTCTCTTCAGGAGGGCAGGCCCCTTGTAGCACAGGCTTCCCCCACTAGCTGAGTGTTGTATCAGTGTACCAGCTGGTGTTGTTGGAGAGGCTGCGTTTGGCTCCAGTGAATTTTTTTTGAAGACTGTTTCAGTGCATGTGTAGTTGAGGCTGCATTCCAGGTGAAGACTGGCCACAGCTTGTGCTAGGCTTGGGGTCACTTGATGGAGTTATAGTGAAAGTTGAAACCTGTTGCTGCTTGTGTGGGCTTTGGGGCCACTTAAGCAAGTACTGCAAGACATGCGAAGGTTCGCTGTTGCTTCTTTGAAGTTTGTGGATCTTTCAAAGATTTGGGGAGGGTCCACAGTGAGGGCTGAGCCAGCCACTTGTGTGGAGGAGCTGCTGGAAGAGACTGGGGCTGGGCTAGTGATTTGGATGGGGCGGGGTCTCAGGGAATCACCTGGGGTGGGGAATGGTGTTAGCCTGGTTAATGGAGAGCACCGACTTGGTGCCAGCCTGCACCTACTGGCTCAGTTGGGGGAGAAGTCAACAAAGAAACAAGGGTGCTCGCCAGTACTTCCATCCCTGCTGCCTCGACCCCTGTGCCTCCAGCACCCACCTTGATGTTAATTAATTTAGTCCCTTAATCAATTTAGCCCTTCCCCATATATGTTCCTGGAGCTTTTCAAGCTGCTCCCCTTGGGCTGAAGCTTAGAGTAGGTTTGTAAGCAAGTGAGTCTGTGTGCATTCCCTTTAAGAGAAGTGTGTTGGTCTTGAGCAGCCGTTTGTTTTTCTTGGATGCCATCCCTGCTGGCTATCACAGCCAGATGTTATTGCGACGACTCTTCCTAGCACCTGTGCCTCAGGTTGAGGAGCCTAGTGTGGAGCTGGTACCTCTTGCTTCTCAGAGGTGCTTCCACAGCTAAGATAGCCCTCCAGATTCTTAATCACCATATTGTGGGTTTGATACCTGCTCGTTCTGTGTCTCCTCTACTTCTACCAGTCTCGATGTGGCTTTTTTTCTATAACCTTTGTTACACAAGTTATGTTATAGGAATTCTTTGTATTTGTATCTGTAATCTAGTGGTTCTCAGTGATGGTTGTTCTGTAATTCAGTTGTAATGTTGACGTCGTCACGAGAGGAGGCGAGCAGAGTTTACCTACTTTGCCACCTTGGCCAGAAGTCTGAGAGTCTTCTCTTTACTACCCATTTCACACTAAAGCCCATTCTAACGAACTTTTGCTATCCCTAGCCTGGTGATTTTCATGTTTCTGGGGATAATTTTTAAAACTTTTTTGAAGCTTGGTAAAGAGCACAACTTGAATTTCCATCAGGAAAAAGAACTAAAACTAGGTACAGCCCTTATGTTTGAAGACTTATGAAGTGAATAGTCACAGAAAATGACTATTGATAAGCATTTCCAACTGGACTCCCTGTTTATGCCATTTCCAAGGTGGTTTAGGTTCGGTTTCTACTATAGAAACCTAGTATGTGAAGACTGGAAGCTGTGAGACCACAGTCAGATGATGAAAGACATGTCAACCATGATGGGTGAGGAAGGGCTCAGACAAGGAGATGTTCTGGAAGGAGTACACAGAGACAAGAGCAAGGGTGAGGACTGTCCTGTGGCAAAGGAATTTGATGTTTCCTGTAAATCTTAAAGGAAAGGACAGGACCCGTGGGTGGAGGCTACAGGGAGAGGAATGTTAGTATGTTTGAAGGAAGAATTTGGAATGGATGGGCCCCTCAGGATGTGGGCAGCAGGTTCTTGGGGCTCTTCAAACATCTTTGGAGTGGCTCCTTGGCAGGAGACTGCAGTTGGGCCAAACTACCTCTAAGATCTTGTCCTACCCTCCAGATACTTTTGTTCTCAGTGTTCCAAGGTCTCTTAAAAACACTATTAGACTTTAAGAAGCTTTGTATTTGAAGGTTGGGGGAATGTAAAAAGATGGCCACCTCATGCATATTACTGTAACTTGTTTGGTAGGTAACCAAAATATTATAAGCTGATTCATCTGTAGCTCCCATTTACTGAGCATTTCATATGTGTGGGTACTGTGTCAAGTGCTACACAGAGATTAGTTTTACAGTAAGCCAGTAAGGTCAATATCTGCAGTTGTATGGATGAGGGAAGAGATTTAACGCAGGGCAGTGAGTTAGGGGAAGTAGTAGCCAAGGTACCAACATACTTTAACTCCAAAGCTGTAATTGTAAGTATAGGAGAATGAGTTTTGTTTTTGTTTCCCTTTCCAGACTTGTATCCTCCATTTGTAAACACAGATGTATATTGGTTGGGCGATTATATTAGAACATACCTGAGGTTTCTTCCAACTCTTCAGTGTTGGTAATTAAATATGCTATTTCTGGTCTTTGTAACAGCCACTTTGCCCTACACTATGCTGTAAAGCAAGGGTAAGCAGACCTTTTCTGTAGAGGGCCAGGTAATAAATGATGTAGCCAATATTCATCTCTACCTTTGTATGCACAGACAACTTGTAAGCAGTGAGTGTGGCTGCGTTCCATTCCAATTTTATTTACAGAAATAATCTTTGGAGGGACCTGATTTGGCCTTGGTCTGTGGTTTGCTGATCCTACTTCAAGGCTGTTTTCTTTCTTTCTTTTTTAAAAGTATAATTTAAAATTTTTCCAGAGAATTTCTCTTCAGTCCTTAAGGACTTAGCTCCTTACCTGGACTTTGGTGGATGTCGCGGGGCAGCACCTGCAGGTCTGAATTGGGGTGGGGAGTTTGGTCCTTCCGGGCTTCACAAGCACTTCTCCTGACCACTGTGCTGTGAATGGCCCAACTCACACAGTTGTGCGGTTTTGCATACAGACTGGAAAGACACTTCAGAAGTGTCCTTCATGGCTGCAGCCGCTACTATGTTTCTAATGAGAACTTCGAGACCTTGTCCTTGGACATGCATCAGGCACAGCTGGTGCAGCAAATAGGCTGTACATGGCCATGGCCATTTTTGGCATGACCATTGTTCTTTTGCATGGTCATCTCAGAAGTGGGGACCTGAGAGCCCAAAGCTGTTTTGCATGGTTGACACCAGGGGTACTTCCTGGTCTCTTTAGGGCTTTGGTCAATTGTGCATACATTTCTGTTTGTAATTATTTATAGGCTTTAGGTAAATCCATTGTAGTGCCCCATATTTCCTATGGTGGATTATCCCTTAAGAGGTGCACTCTGTGTGGAAATGCACTCTCTCAGCCTTCTGGTGGGACCATAATTTGCATCACCCTTGTGAACCAGTGGTTCCCTTCTTACAATTACTGCAGAGACATGCACGTGGGTACAAGGAGACCTGTTCAGGATGGTAACCTGCAAAATTTGGCATATCTGCACCATGGAATGCTGGCAGCAGTTACAAAGGACATGAGGGGTCTCTAGTTTCTAACATGGCTTATCAAAAATTACTGTTTAATGAAAAAGCAAATTATAAGTAGATTTGTACACTACCTTTTTATGTTAGAAATGTTTTTTTTATACATACATTTTATGAGGGTTGTGTGTGTGAAGGTGTAAAAAAGGCCTGATGGTGTCTATACCAAACTAATGAAAGAACTGGGGAGGTGGGTACAGAGGAATCTGGGGTCAGGGCTGGTGACTCTAGCTAACTATCATATTTCTCTTTTTTTCCAAGGAGAATGTGTTTGTATATTATTTGTGTAATGAAAATTTAAGAATAACAAAAAAGATCTGCACAGCCTTTCATAATCTCCACCAGCCATCCCAGAGCATCCCACGTAAACAAATGACTGCCGAGATGCAGGGGGCATGCTGGGAAGGTGTCCCCAACCCCTGTGGTTGACTAGATTGTTGCTGTTGCATCCACTCAGCCCTGAGAGAGGAAGGTAGAAGGGCACATTGATGGCCAATGGATGAGAACCTCAGCTTCCATGACTGTATGTTTGGGCACTGTTGCCTGTCATTTGCATGGTCACTTCACTTTCCTGCAAAGTTATTATGTAGTCCACCTTGTGTTCCTCTTGAGGAAAATGCAGAAAACAAGGTCAGTTTTAGACATGACCTAGGCATCAGAGAGGCAGCTGCAAGTCCAGGGGGAGGTTGGTTTTATGGTAAAGAGGTATGACAGGCAAAGCTGGGCACAGATGAGTCATGTACTTATTGTTTAAGGATCAGTCAGTCCATGTCCTTGCTAATGGCTCTGCCATATTTCTGTGTGTTGATCCAGGAGGAGGAGAATAAAAGGAAGTTGTCCATAATTGGCTTTAAGCAGCACACAGTAAAACTTTGAGCTCTTCCGCTCCACCTTTCTTGTAAGTTTACTGTTTATTCCCAGTGCTCATGACAACTAATTAAATCATGTGATAGCATATTTCCATAAATTTGGAACCCTTAAGTCTAAATGGACTTTTTATTGGTCCATATATATTTAACATAAAAGACTGTATTACGATAAAAATAATTTCCTTCAGCTGAAGTCATTTGCTATTTAAAAGAAATCCATCCCATTGAGGTGTATTTAATATCATATGGCAGTTCTTGATGTATTTTATATCCCTCTAGGCTCTGAGAATTGGAAAACCAAGAAGGTTTTGATGTTTTGTGTGGCGACAGCTGAATTAGAAACCAAGATGAATATAACCAAAGGAGGCCTGGTGTTGTTCTCAGCAAATTCTAATTCATCATGTATGGAGCTTTCAAAGAAAATTGCTGAGTGAGTTATAATCATACCATTACAATCTATATTATGTGATGTTTTGATTTGATAATCAGACTAGCACTGATTGTTAAACTTGATAGCAGATAGGTCATCTGCATATCATTTATATATTAAAGACCAACCTTTTTGTAAACTGTTGTGACACCCTATGCATTCTTTCAGCAGATGTTTATTGAGTGCTCATGAGTGGCGTTAGGTGCTGCATATGTATAGAATATTTGAGTATAAAGAACAGTGAAGTGCATACTATATAGAAATAGTTTATAGATTATAGTTCAATGTAATTTTAGTTATTTTAGGTCTTGATTTTAGATATTGGGGATTAACAGTGAATAGCCAGTCAAAATCCTTCCTTCTTTCATGGAGTAGTAGTCCAAACAAGAAGCCAGCCAGCAAAATAAACAAGATAATTTCAAATAGTGATCAGTGCTGTGAAAAAAAACAGTGAAAGGAATGATGGGGCAGGTTCTGTTTTAGCTAGGATGCTTAGGGACCTTTTAAACTAAGGGGATGATATGTGAATTGAGAAACTTGAATGACTCACTGAGAGAAGATCTGGGTGCACAGCTGTCCAGGCAGAGGGACTAGCAGGTTCAAAGTCCCTGTGGTGTGCAGCCCTGTTGGTGTATCTCGGCAACATGGGTGGATGGTGGAGGGAATAAGGAAGGGGTTATGAGGCAGGCAGAGCAGGACTGTGTAGACCGTCTTAGGGAGGCATGGGATGAGGGGTTAGTGAAGTACAATTTAGTATTAACTTGAAATTTTATAATAAGAATACCTCTATTTTATTTTTACTTACGAGTCATCCTTAAATAGTAAACATGTTGAGTCTATTCTATTACCTTTTCAGCTTTTCCCCCCCTTTCTCTTCTCTAGGCGGCTGGGGGTGGAAATGGGCAAAGTGCAGGTTTACCAGGAACCTAACCGAGGTGAGCTATCTTTGACATGCATAACATCGATCTTTGTGCAGAACATAACATCCTCAGTCCTTCATCCTCTTTATTGAAACGGTTAGGCTCAGTGTCCAGTTGGTTACATTAGGATGAAGTCACGAAAGAAGGTGGCTGGTTAGTGGTCTTTTAGATCCCACTAGTACCAACTAGATACAGAGCCCTGGGAGCCCAGTCACATCTGGGAACTTGGATGCCAGTTCTCAGACCTCATTTGCTAAAAACTGCAGAGATACATAAACCACCTGGTCAACTGAATGGAAACATTGTCTCAGGCCGTTGAATTTATGTCACCTTAGACAGGATGAACAGATCTTGTGTGGCCACAATACCACCATTGGTGGTTATTGTTTACCTCTGTGCAAGCTGCCATGGGTTAGACTTCATGAAATCTTGTTAAGAAATGCTTCTTGCTAATTGATTTATGCCATTGCATAATTATCTCAGGTTGTAAAAAAAGCATGTATTCTTTAACCTTTGTAATTTCAGTGCTCTAGCAGGGTGATGGGCAGCTTGCATGGGCTTGAGAGCCAGACACTTTATCCTTGGCAAGTTATATAATCTTTCTATACTGCAAATAATTAGGGCTGTTTGAAGATTAAGTGGGATAATTTGTGTGCTTAACACAGCTCTTGGTACATAATAGGTCCTCTGTAAATATTAGTTCCCTCTCCTTTTCTACTGTAGGGTTTTTTCAAGTACTTAAATATTATGGAACTTAAAGTAGACTTTGGTGACTAGGCACAAATTTGCTCTTTTCCTATTTATTTCTCCATTACTGCCTCCTTTTTTCTGTCTCCCAATTTGTCCTCATGTGGCTTCAGTATGAAAAAATGTAATTGAAGAAAATGTGCAGAGAGTTTGGAGATGATTCTGCTGCTAAAGGAAATTGGATAATGCCTTTTGTCTAGCCTGGAAGGGAGGGTTAAGGGGAGAGCTAGTGGTGGAAGATTTGGGAAGAGGTTGGTCCACACTTCAGGTTCATGACTGATGGGAGGGAAAATACTTGGTGTCTGTTGTGAAGAAAGGAGGGAACTAGCGTTTATGGATTTCTTCCTATTACTAGATTGTGAAGAACTGAGTTCAGGGATGATGTTAGGGTAGGAGGTCTCAGAAGTAGCAGGGGCAAGATTCGATTCCAGATCTCTCTGACTCTAAAGCTCATTTTCTTTCCATGGCACCACGCTCCTTTATAAACATCTATTTTATTTTTTCCAGCATTTTAAATGAAAATGTTCAAACATATAAAAACGTTGAAAGAATGTACAGTGAAGACCAATGTGTATATCTACCACTTAGATTCAACAGTTAACATTTGCCATATGAATATGTATGTGTAAAAGTCAGTTGCACACATCAAGACACTTGACCCCTGAATACTTGATCATGCATCTCCAAAGAATAAAGACTTCATCCTGTATAAATATACTGCCAATGTCCCATTTAAAGATACTTGATAATTCTGTAGTCATTTAATGTCTAATCTGTATTTAAAATTCCCTAGTTATCCTAAAGAGCCTCATAGGTTTTTTTTAATAATTCATGGTTCAAGCACTATATTTCTGTATCTCTGTAGTTTCTTCTAATCTACAACATTCCCTGCCCCGCCCCCCCCAGCCTTTTTGTTCCCATGACACTGACTTTCTGAAGACATTGTCTTGTTCTGTTCTGGGTTTGTCTGATTGTTTCCTTGTGGCTGATCACAAGTTTTTTTTGAGAGTAGGGATACTGTACCTTCTTTATCATTATTCTTACATTATTATAACATTTTGTGCCTAATAAGTTCTTAATAGTTGCTGGTTGACTGAATGAGTATATAAGTTCCTATAAAGATACCATGCTCAGAGTGGTATACAGCACTTCCTGCTTTTATATACAAGAAGTGAAAGGGTAGCTTTACTGGTTTCAAATCAGAAGTGTAGTTCTGTCTTAAAGATATCATATGACCATGTTTAAAAAGGGTGACTAATAGTATGTTTATTATCCTTTTGTAGCATCTGAAAGTAATCTGTTTTGTAGTAGTTCCTGTTTCCATATTTTGTAACATTGGAGAATGTTGCAAATTTTTTGTGTATTTTTAAAAACATAAATTATGTACCTACTTCACACCTCACCTCTTTTTCCTTTTCTTTCCAGAAACAAGAGTACAAATTCAAGAGTCGGTGAGGGGAAAAGATGTTTTCATCATTCAAACTGTTTCAAAGTAAGTGCCAGTCTAACAGAAGTGTGTTGCTTTCTTTGTTTCTGTTTAGGCTTGAGTGTTTAGAGCCAGAATTGGCTAGACAGGAAGAATTAAGATAGTTGTAAAGTTGGTATCCTACTCTGCTAATTTTTCTGACTTTGCTGACTTTTATGTGTTAGTGTTCTTGGAAGGTGGCAATAACCAGGTGCAGTATCCCCCAGTTATCCACAGGGACGCAGTCCAAGGCTCCCAGGGTGCTTAGAACTGCAGGTAGTATTGAACCCTGTGTACATTCTGTCTTTCCTATGCATACATACATATCTATAATAAGTTTAATTTATAAAGTAGGCATAGCAAGAGATTAACAACAAATACTACTAATAAAATAGAATAATTATAATGGTACACTGTAATAAAAGGTGATGTGGTGTCTCTGTCTCTCTGCCTCTCTCTCTGTCTCTCTCTCTCTCTCTCTCTCTCTCTCGTAGTTACTCTCTCTTTCTCTCTCTTGGTGTAATAACTAAGATGGCTTACTGAGTGACTAAAGGGCAGATGTCATACACAGCATGGATATGCTAGACAAGAAATGATTAACCTACCAGGTAGGATGGAGCAGGACAGCGAGCGATTTCATCATGCTACACAGAACAGTGCACAATTTAAAACTTAGGAATTGTCTATTTCTGGAACTTTTCATTTAATATTTTCCTATCATGGCTGACCACGGATAACAAACCACAGAGAGAGAAACTGAGAATGGGGACATGGGGCTACTGTATTGGAGTAGAGGCTCTTAATGATAATAGAACCCTGTCACCCCTCAGCATCATGGTGGGGAAATTGCAGAGCACAGGACAACTTACGTCGCTTCTGGCTCCTGGGTGTTTGCACTACTTTTACCTCCTCAGAGACAAATATGAGTCCATTTGAATAAATGCACAGAAGTGGTTTATGTTACCTAAGGGGATAAGGAGGCACTGAAGGCCAAATTGGACTTAGCGTTCAGGACTTCAGAAGGGTGTCTCTTGTAATCCTTCCCATTTTCAAGTCCTCCTATTTATTTCCTTTTATTTATTTTTGTTTACTTTAATACTTACCATTCTGTTCCTGCTTTTTGTCTATTTTTTATTCCTTTAGCCAAAATCATCTCCTTAATTTTCTCTACATGTCTCAGTTTGCATTGTTCTGAACTGTGCAGTAGGCTTGTGTTAATTTAGCCACTTTTACTCTTGTCCAGGTTGCAGAAAGCCTGGGCATCTATGGTCTCTTCATAAAATACTATGAGAGCTCTGACTGGTGTGACTCAGTGGATTGAGCATTTTCCCTTAAAGCAAAAGTTTTCCAGTTCAATTCCTGGTCAGGGCACATGCCTGGGTTGCTGGTTCAGTCCCCAGTTGGGGTGCATATGAGAGGCAGCTGATCAGTGTTTCTCTCTCACATCGATGTTTCTCTCCCTCTCTTTCTACCTCCCTTTTCCTCTCTAAAAATAAATGCAATCTTTAAAAAAATAACAAAAATACTGTGAGATAGTTAATATTGAAATTTGGTATTATCAGATACATATTGTACTTTATTTTAGTACAGACCAGTGGCAGGCATTAAAAGTATAAGAGCATTTTTAAATTAAGAAAACTCTGTTAACTTTTCCTATAATTCAAACAAGTTCATTATTTGAGTTTGGTGTTGGAAAGCTTTGTACTAGCTCATAAAAAAATGGTGCTCCTGAGAGCATAGTTTAGGAACTTGGGTGTAACTTTACACTAACAGTTGGTTATTCTTTTCTTACCCTTTCACATAGAATGCTTTTCTGAAAGCCTCCCTCAACTCCTCAGATGTCAGGCTTGGTATTAGATATTAATGGAATGCCGACTCACTCAAATAATCTCTGTTCCTACTCATTCATTGATTAACTAATATGTATTGAATATGCTAGTCACTGTTACAGGTGTGTGAGATACATTAAAGATTAAAACAGATAATCATCCTTGTTCTCATGGAGTATGTAGGATGGGCAAAAGTAGGTTTACCATTTGTAAGGAAGATAATACAGTCATTAACAGGTACTAATACAAGAATAAGGTCTGTGCTTCGTGTACTCAGAACTGTAAACTCACTTTTGCCCCACCCTATATATCTAAGACTTGCAAGTTACATAATAAATAAGTAGATTATTTAGTTTGTCAGAAGGTGATGAGCACTATGGAGGAAACAGAACCAAACAGCATAGCAAGGAATTGGGAGAGTGATGGTGGTGAAAGAGGGGACAAACAGTGGAAAGCGTAGGCTTTATTCAAAGTTGACATTTGACAAAACCTGGGAGAAGGTAGGGGAGTAAACCAGGTGGCCATCTGGGGAGGAGAGACAGGAGCTCATGGAGGGAAGACCCTTGGGTGGGAGTGAGTACGGACAGATCATTGAGTATGGCCAGAGTGAGGGGGAAGCATGGAATAGCTGTGGATGGCAGAGAATTGGGGGTGATCACAGAGGGGCCTAGGGAGCCGTTATCGGGCCATCGACAAGATGGGGACCTATTTCTGGACCTTGAGCAAAGTGGTGCATAATCTAACTTCCATTTTAATATCTAGATAGATACTGTGTGGAGAGGGGACTACAGAGGGACTCGAGGGGTGGGGGACAGGGAGACATGTGGTGGCAAGGCTGTCATAGTCACCTGGTTGAGGGGCAGAGTGACAAAGCCCCAGTGCAGTAGTGGAGTAATGAGGTACTATAGCTTTTTGGATAGGAAAGCAGTTAAGGGTGCCTCTGAGGTTTTTGTCCTGAGGAAACTGGGGAAGCATAGCCATCAGTGTTATGCTGGAAGAGTGTTGCCATCAACTGAGATAGCAAAGGTTTTTATGATGAAGCAGGCTTTGGGGGCAAGGGCAGTTTAGTTTGGAGTTTGTTGAGTTTAGAGATGTCTTAATGGACATTCAAGTGGAATCGTCAAGTAGCAGTTGAATTTGTTAGACTGGAGTTGAGAAGCTGGAACTGGGGCTATAAATTTGAGGGTCTCCAATATTAATAAAGCCGTGAAATTGGATGAGAAGCCCAACAGATGAGGGGAGGTAGTAGAAGAGGACAAAGGAACAAGTGTTAGGACTGAAGTTGGGGAGAAGAAAAACCAGCAAAAGAAACCAAGTAGTGCAGGAGAACATAGGTGTCCTAGATGCCAAGTGAGTCCAGTGCAGCAGGGAGCTGGCTAAGTGGCTGTGTGTGATGCCAGTGAGGGGTTTGGGGAGAAAAGGACTGAGAACTGGCCTGGTGATTTAGCCACATGGAAGAAATGGGGCAGTGGGGAAAGTGGTCATAGTCCTTACTTTTAATGGGCAAAATAACAGTATATACAGTAAAGGCTGATGGGTATGAGCCTGGGGAATGTAGTAACAAATTGATGATGGAGGCAACAGAGGGAGAATTGCTGGAGTAACATCTAGTAGGCAAGAGGGGAAAGGGATTAGTGTGTAATAGGGGGCTAATTTTAGAGTAACTTTGGTGTGGGAAATTCATCTTTCACTGATGGCTGAAGGCAGGTGGACTTCTCAGATGCAAATTCACATGGTGGTGAGAGCCTGTGGCAGCTCTTCTCTCAGTGAAAAAGGAAGAAGGACTGTTGGCTGAGAGGGAGTGTGGGGGGAACTGATGGAGGAGAGAGGAATTTATTGCTTTTTTGTTTGTACCTTGAGCCTCAAGTCTTGCAAGTAGATGCATGGATACTACATTGCCGACACCTTTGTTGGAACAGAGAGATATTATCAAGTGTCTTACGTTCCTCGCTGGGGTTTCTGTCTCTTGGGTTACAGGGACGTGAACACTACCATCATGGAGCTCCTGATTATGGTGTATGCGTGTAAGACCTCTTGTGCCAAAAGCATTATTGGTGTGATTCCCTACTTCCCTTACAGCAAACAATGCAAGATGAGAAAAAGAGGCTCCATTGTTTCTAAGTTGCTGGCTTCAATGATGTGCAAAGCTGGTAAGACTGGCAGATTTGATAATTGGGAACCTGGGAGTTTTATTTTTATCTTAGAAATTGTAAAGCATTTAAAAAACAAAATTAGAATGTTGAATGGAGTAAAAATAGTGATACCACATTTAAAGTTAACTAATTTATGAGAAAAGAATGTAGAGAATTCTCTCTTGTTCCCAACTCCCCAAAACACAAAGGTAAGGAGAGTGACTTATTATTATTAAATTCCTTGTTTAAAAGTTATGTTGAAGCCCTGACTGGTGTGGCTCAGTGGGTTAGACATCGTCCTGCAAACTGCAAGGTCCACGTTTGATTCTGGTCAGGGCACTTGCCTGGGTTGCAGGCCAGGTCCCCGCTTGGGGGCATGTGAGAGGCAGCTGATTGATATTTCTCTCCTTCTCTTTCTCCCTCCCTCCCCCTCTCTCTAAAAATAAATAAATAAAATCATTTCAAAAATTATATTGAAATTACAAGTTATGATCATATTAAGTCACTTTTAAAGGGGGAAAAGTCATTTGGAACTGACTGTTTTAACACAGCAGCTACTTTTATTTTAGTCTCTTTCCTTTCCCAGGATAGGTTGGTGTATTTTGTAAACCATATGTGTTATTTTGTGTTGTGTATTTTTAGGTAACATTGTGTCTCCCTCTTGTTTCTAAATCACCTCCAGAGTTGTTAGTGTGTGTACGTGTGTATATGATTATAGAAGACACATATCACAGCATCTGCACAGAGATAAATGAATGAAAAGTCCTCATTATCACTATATTTCAATAGACATTTACTATAGAATAAATTTCCTACTGCAGCATTTCAGTGGAGGCAAAAATGAAACAAAGTTTGACAAAACCCAAACCTCGTGAGCACACCCCTTTGAAAACGGTGATAGGTAGCACGCTGCCAGGAGCAGGCTGGCTCACTGAAACTTCTAGGAAGTTTCTGCCCTTCTCTTCTAGCCTTGCTCCTGGGCATAACATTAGGTTTACTTTCCTGTTCTTTTGGAAAGTTTTGCTTTTTTATAATTTTTCCAGTTCAAATTTTGTATGCTTTTGTAGTGATTGTTTCAAATATCCTTTACTGAGCCAATGGGTGAAGGTTCTTCATTTTTTTCCAATTATAGGACTGTACAGTTTGCCTTAATATCTTAAGATAGTATTTATTTTAATATGGCTTTGCCATATGTATTAAGGAAACTTCAAGGAGATATAATCTGCTATCATACAATTATCAGAGACATTTCTTGTTATTATCTTTGCTATTTTAAGACTTTAAATTGATGTGAAAATCATGCACCTCTGTGTAATAAAAATGACTCAGTCTTTCCCTCTCGAGTCAGGAAAAACCCAGTTCTCACACAGAGCACTTCACTTCTGACACTTTCGGTCACCAAATGTGTAGCTTTTCCCTAAACCTAGCAATTCTTTGTGACATCAGCTGGCTGGCCTATAATTTAACTAATTCTGACAGGTCTATCCAGAGATAGAGTCAGATTCCCCAGATTCAGGGCTCAGTCCCACAGATCTGTGCCCTCCCCCTCAGGTGCCAATTGCAAGTTTAGGTTGTCACCTGTGCTTCTGACCGGTCAGCCATAAATCTGAAGTTCCCACCATCCCCTTCTCGAGTTTGATCAGTTGGCTAGAGCGGCTCATAGAACTTGAGAAAACCAGTTTATCATGAGAAGATATAATACATGATACTAATGAACATCCAGATGGAAGGGCCAGCTATGTGGGACTAAGGGGCGTGGAGCTTCCATGCCCTCTCGGCTTTGCCTCTCCTGCCGACGCCTCCACCTACTCACCAGCTTGGAAGGTCTCCCAAACCTTTGCCATTGGGATTTTATGGAGGCTTTCTCATAGATGTAATCAACCAACCATTTCTAACCCCTCTCAGCTCTCTGGAGAAAGGAGGAGGGGCTTAAACTCCCTCGCTTGGTCTCTCTGGTGACTAGCCCCTCCAGGAGCCACCCAGGGTCTCCTCATGCTCTTGCCACTCAGGAAAAAACAATGGCTTTAGGAGTTTTGCACCAGGCACCAGGGACGGAGACTGATAGACAAGTTTTCTGTTATCTCACAATCTCATATTAAAATATCTGAGATACACAGATGCTGAATTTTTATGAGAACAATTTTTAATTGTAGTTTATTATATATAGTATTCTATTTTATCTAGTACTTATTTCGTACAGTACAACTGGTTATTAAACTATTTATGTGTTTGTCTCTGCTTTATTTTCAAAGGTCTAACTCATCTTATTACTATGGATTTACACCAGAAGGAAATTCAGGGCTTCTTCAATATTCCTGTTGATAATTTAAGAGCATCTCCTTTCTTATTACAATATATACAAGAAGAGGTGAGCTAGCTCAAACTTTTTTACTTAACATTTGGCTTAAGGTTGAAAGATGTTTCCGTGTCTTTGGGCTGTCCATAAAAGATTCAAACTTGATATATTCTGCTTCAAGTACTACTTACTTTAGAAATGTAATTCACTATATTTTAAAATTCCTAATCTTTAATTTCTTTTGCTAAGCTCTTAAGATTGCTTTTCCCTCCTTTGGACCTCAGTCACCAGAAGCAGACTAGTCATAATCATGAAAACTCACTCTCATCACTGGTCCATGTGTGGTCCTGGCTTTCTTTTATGTACCCATCTGTCTACCCTAACTTCCTGTCCATCCATCTATGGTAGTCAGTGTCCATGATCCTACCACCCAGCAAGTATACTAGAGTCCTCATAACTTACAGTCATTCGTGTGGTCCTTGTCAGTTACCTCCCCTGTCTCCTCCCACCTGGGAAACCATCGTCCTGAATCTTCATCTTTCTCCTAATTTCCTTATATAGTTTTATTGTATTCATGTACATGCGTGTGTGCATGCGTGTGTGTGTGTGTGTATCAATAGTATATGTTATTGAAAGATAAAAACACAAAAATACATATTTTTAAATTTTATGAAAAAGAACAGACTGTGTAATCCGTTGGGAGTTTTTTCACTTCATGTTACACTTGTGAGATTCATCCACATTGTGTGTGTCACAGCTCATCCATTTGACCACTGGCAAACACTTCTGGTGCAGCAGTTACCACAGCTTATTTATAAGGTCTGTGCTGTTATGAGAGTGTTCCTGTGAGCTTCACTGTATGTCTCTCCTGTGGTACTTAAGCAAAAGTGTATGTTGGCTGTATATACCTACAGGTGAATTGCTAGGTTGTATGGTGTGTGGACTTTTAATTTTTCCAAAGCAGTTATTCCAACTTACATTCCCACCAACAATGAATTAGATATCTTGTGGATCCATTTTTGCTTCAATACTTATATTATCAGAATTAAAAGTTTTTGATAGTTGAATGGCCATGATATGGTATCTTGTCAGTTTGCTGGGTATATTTCTGATGACTTTAGAAGTTGAACATCCTTAAATGTTTTTTTTTTTTTTTTAATTTTGAAAAAGTACTTTCATCTCCAATGGTTTTGTTTGTTTCTTTGTGAGCTACAGGCATTCTTTTTTAACTCTCAGTCTAGCCATGTGTTAGGGTTTGTTTTACATATGTCTCTCCGTTTCTATCTTGTCTTTAGTTTTCTGTGGGGAGTCTTGGTATGCAGACATACTAAAAATTTTTTTCATTGAGGTGAAATTCACATAACATAAAATTCACCAATTTAACACAAACTATTATCACCTAGTACAATCACAGTGTTGTGCAACCACCACCTCTGTCTAGTTTAAAACTTATTACTCCAGAACATCCCATACTCATTAAGTACTCACTCCCCATTCTTCCCTTCCTGCAGCCCCTGGCAACCACTAATGTGCTTTCTGTCTCTGGGGATTTGCCTGTTCTGGATAGCTCATATAAATGAAATCATACAGTATGTGACCTTTTGCATTTGGCATCTTTTACTTAACATAATGCTTTTGAGGTTTACCAACATTATAGCATGTATCAGAACTTCATTGGTCTGTGTGTACCAGGACTTTTTAAGGAAATTGTGAAGAGGAAAGCTACAAATATATTTTTACTGTGCCTGTTGAAATCCTATCCTATCTTACCAACTTTTAAAATAGGAACTTCTAGAGTTACCCTGTTCCTGACTGAATCACACTCCACCCCTCAACCCCCAAGTATTCTTACTGTCTTTATATCAAGCCATTCTCATTATCACAGAAATGAGATATGGCAGGACATGGAAAACCAGGGACAGGGGAGGGGATTTGCAGCGGAGTGTGGAGTGTAGGGCAATTGGGTTCTTTGTGGTTCCACAAGTGGCCCGATGATGTTTTCCCTTAATGGTTCAGAGAGAAGTTGGGAGTTTGGAAGTCAGACTTCCTTGACATGTGGTGTGTTTTCTCTCTCTACTTGATAATGAATCATCTTTTTCTCAATTGAAAATTTCTGTTTACATTGGCAGTGTAGGGAAATGCATGTCTGTATGTAGTAATTCTGACAGTAGTGATAAAGGCCCAGATTCCCTGCCCCACCACCCTGGTCCTGGGCCCCTTTGCAGAGGTAGGCCTCGGTACCAGCTTGCTTTGTGTTCTGTATCCTCTTAGCTTTCTCTTTGTGTCTTCCTCCTTGTCTGTATACCAGTGATTTTCAACCTTTTTCATCTCATGATGCACATAAACTAATTACTAAAGTTCTCTGGCACACCAAGAAATGTTACATTTTTTGGTGATCTGACCAAAAAATAAGTATAATTTTGATTCATTCACATGGGATGGCTACTGTTGTGTGGCTGTCTTCATTTTCTTATTTGATGATCTAAGGGAAAAGAGGTCTGTGCCCCTGACTAAAGTCAGTTATTGCATGTTTTATAAATTCTTGTGGTGCACCAGTTGGAAATAGCTGCTATATACACATAGTTGTAGATACTGATTTATGGGTCCTTAAAAAAAACATTGACATACTGTTCGCATTGTTTTCCAATTTGTTCTTTCCCAGGCTGGCATGGAGGCCTTTCCATGCTAAGATGTGTAGGTGTACCTCTTTCTTTATCATGTCTACATAGTACATGTTCCTTAGTTTAGAACAGTAATATCCAGTAGAACCTTCTGTGACATTGGAAATGCATTATCTGCTGTTCAGTGTGGTGACCACCAACCACCTGGCTAGTGACTGTTGAGCCCTTGAAATGTGTCTAGTGTGAGTGGAGAACTGAATCTTTCATTTTTTTAGGCTTAATTAATTTAAATAGTTACATGTTGAAATGTTTAAAGCATAAGTTAACAGAACCCATTTTTCTCACCATTTCCCTCTTGATTAAGTTGTTTTAATTTTTTACTCTTTAAATTGAAATACTTCATTTTCAAAATTTATTTATTTTAAGCCATGTTGCTTTGAAAATTCTTAACATTTCTGAGGACTTATATGAGTGTTCTTGTGAGATAATTAAGAAGGGATTGCTTGATTGAAAAATATGTATATTTAAAAATTTTCAGTAGACACTGGAAAATTTTTAGCTTTGTGAATATTTAATAGGTATCATAAAAATTGCAGTTATCTAAAGGGGCTGTATTAATTTACACTCCTAGTAACAGTGCTTATGATAGTACCTGTTGCCCATGCCTTGATTTTGCTAATTTGTAAATAAAACAACAGTACATTATTTGAATTTTTTTTACTTCCCTGATTTCTAGTGTGATTATCATGTGGGGTTTTTTTGGGGGGGGGGTACAGAATTTTCCCCATCTAAAATAGTGTTTTACATTTTTGTTGTGGTTTTGTAATTTCAGCAGGATGTGTCTGGGGTGGATCTTTTTTCCATTCATCTCTCTAGATACTCAGTGGGTCCCTTTCATTACAGGGAATTCTTTTCCCTGTAATTTGGTATTTTATCCTGTTTTTTCCCCCCTTGGGAACTGTTATATGAAAATTTTGGATGTAGTCTATATTGTTTAATTTTTTTTTTTAAGTTTTGTGTCCTTATATCCCTTGCTGTGGGAAAATTCCTTGGCTTACTCTCCCAGGTTGGTTCTTCAGCTGTGTCTGTAGCCAGCCAGCTATTGAATTTCTTACTTGGACCATAATCACTTCCTGGATTTCTTTTTTAGTTCTTTTCCATAGAAACTTCTTTGTTTACACGTTTTTCTGCTTTAACTTTTTTTATTGTTGTTTAGTTACAGTTGTCCCCATCCCCCCCCCCCTTGCTCTCCTCTGCCCCATCCAACCCCTGCTCCCAAAGACAATCTCCTCCCTCCCCATTGTCCTTGTTCATGGGTCCTTTGTGTATGTTCCTCTTCTTTTCCCTATTATCCCCCTCCCCTCTGGTCCCTATCAGTTTGTTCTTTATTTCCATGTCTCTGGTTCTTTTTTGCTCATTTGTTTGTTTCTAAGTGCCCATCAGTAAATGAGAAGATCAAAAAACTGGTACATTTACACAATGGATACTACACAGCAGAAAGAATGTAGGAACTTCTTTAACTTTTGAGGAGAAAATAGACCTGTTTTTATTAAAGAGTTCTTTCTTAACTGTTTCCTCAGTTATTTCTTCTCTTGGCTGGGTTTGTTGCTGTTTGATGACATTTGATAAGTCAGGAAAGTACATTATAAAACAGTTTAGAAAGATATCTAGTGAAAATAAGGAAATTGCCTAAATGTAAATATTTTTTGCTACCTTACCCACTGATAGTGTCGTATAAGAACATCTGATCTATGTGGTTAATCAGTTTTTTGTTTGTTTACTAAGTATTTCCTATTTAGTGCTTTCCCATATGCTTGGCATTCTCCATGATGCTAACTATAATTTTAAGCGCTTCTAATTGTGAGAAAAAAGCAGTTGGGAGATATAACTGAATGAAATGATATAATTTAATGATGTGATTAAATGTTAAGAACATAAAGTATTGAAAATATTACCTAGATGAAGTTAGAAACATACTCAGCTTGAAAATAATTCTGTCTTAGAAACTCTCAGTTGATTATGGATATATCTTCAGTTATAATTATCACTAGCATAGATCACTTCAAGAGTTCCCCTTCATTGACTCCAGAGCAGACCAATACTTTAGTTATTTTCTTAAGGGCTCTTAATATCTTTATAAAACAGCACTGGACTGATTGTCTTTTAACAAATTGGTTTCTTCATTATATGACTGAGATACAGTAAATAGTGGACGTACTAATTTGGAATTTGACAATTATCTTGGGTTCAGATTGCATGGATATCATCCTTACACTTTGAAATGACAACTTCTTGATGACATAACAAATTCTCATACCACATTACCAATATCTGCTGGCACATAGAAATGATCTAATCACCAATTAGCCCAGGTTTTTTCCTGAAAGAGGTCTGTGAGGCTTATACCTTGATAATATTTTTTCTAGGTAGGCATTTCTTCATTTTCCAAAGGAGAAATTTACTTTGAACTTTTCTCCTTTTGGAAAACTTTCATCAAACGACCAGGTGCCGGTTTTGAGTTAGTTGCACTGTTCTGTTTATTGATCTTTGGGTGTTGGTGTGAATGGCCTTGTGGAGTCATGGGAGTAACTCCCAACCTCTCGTCTGTCACAGATCCCAGATTACAGGAATGCAGTCATCGTAGCCAAGTCTCCAGCCTCAGCAAAGAGGTAGGTGGTGCTCACGACTTAATGCTCCTGGGTCCACATCCAGGGTTCAACCTCAGTGGGGCACACTGGTGTCCCTTATGTTTATTTTGTGGACTGATAGTTTAAAAGATTGTCTGCTGACTCGGTTTGGTAAGTGATGATTAATTTTCTTTTTTTGTTATAGCCCCAATCTGTAACCACCAGTCATGTTTCTTGACTAAAGCCATCCAGATCTGGGCATTCCTGACCTAGTGCTTCCCTCACTCTCAGAATGGCTGCTGCTGGTTGTCATTCTTCAAGTCTGGCATTTATAATACTAGCAAATACACTTTGTAGTTGTGTACTGCCTTGAACTCAGTAATTTATTAACAGGATTGTATCTAGCCCAGTGACCACATATTGGTATGTGTTAAAAGGTGACATTTTACAAAACGAAAACACCCTGAGGCTTCAAATCGGGCAGTGCTGAGAGAGTCACCTGTAACCTGGAGTAACTGTTGAGTTGTCACTCTAGTACTTGCTGTGTTTGGGCTGAGAGGATTTCATATACCAGTGTTTCCAGAGAAGCCACTCCAGTGCAGAGGGAAAAAACAAAATCAAATGTAGAAAGAAATGAAGTCTTTTTCCTAAAAAAAGCTGTAAAATTATTTCCCACAATTGGATACCTTTGCTCACTGGGTCATTGCTGAGTCCTGTGCAATGGAAGAGACAGGGCCATCTCCAGCCCAGACCCATGGACTGGTAGTATTAACACGGAGGGTGGGGAGCTTGACACAGCAAGCATGGTGTGGAAGGGTGACAGATAAGCAGTTCCCTGATAAATTAAGAATGACATTTGGTACATTAATTAGGTTGGCCTTTATGATAGCCATGAAGGTGCCCTGTTCTTAGAGCTGTCCTCCTAGTGCAGCCAGGGCTGTGTCCACACATGCCTCCTTTGAGAAGCTCCATCAGTCTTCTGCTGCCCATTTGATTAAGTCACAGTAAACTGTGACTCATTTTGGAAGATAAACATTTCAAACAACTTTTTCAAACAAAAAGGCTGAATTAATTTTAATTTAGTGATTTGTTTTTCTCTGATGTACGGGCTTTTAAAAAATTAAGGTAAGAATCACAACATACAGTTAACCATTTTAAAGTATACGGTTCACTGGTATTTAGTGCTTTCACAATGTTGTGCAACCACTGCCTCACTCCAGTGTCCGTAATCACTCTCTGTTCCCTTCTCCCCTCAGCCCCTGGCAACTAGTAACCTGCTTTCTGTCTCTGGATTTGCTTATTCTGGATATTTCATATAAATGGAATCATATCATACCATATATGGCCTTTTGTGTCTGATTTTTTTCACTTAGCATAATGGTTTCAAGGGCCATCTATGTTATAGCTTGTGTTAGCATTCCATTTCTTTTTATAGCTGAATGACATTATACTGTATGGATATATTATATTTTATCTGTTCATCCACTAATGGACCATTGGGTTGTTTCCACCTTTTGGCTATTTTGAATAATGCCGCTATGAATACTTGTTTTTAAGTTTCTACATTGAAAAATGCTGTTATTTATTGTGGATGTATACCTAAGATTGAAATTCTGTGTTTACATTTTTGAGGGACCACTAAACTGTTTTTTAGAGTAGTATCTCATTGTGGTTTTTTAAAAAATATATTTTATTGATTATGCTATTACAGTTGTCCCATTTCCCCCTTTCATTTCCCTCCACCCTGCATACCCTCTCCCACCCACATTCCCCCCTTTAGTTCATGTCCATATGTCATAAGTTCTTTAGCTTCTATATTTCCCATACTGTTCTTGCCCTCCCCCTGTCTATTTTCTACCTACCATCTATGCTGCTTATTCTCTGTACCTTTTCCCCTCTCTCCTCCTCCCACTCCTCTGTTGCTAACTTAACTCTATGTGATCTCCATTTCTGTGGTTCTGTTCTTGTTCTAGTTGACTGCTTAGTTTGTTTTGTTTTTGTTTTAGGCATGGTTGTTAATAATTGTGAGTTTGCTGTCATTTTACTATGCATGTTTTTTGTCTTCTTTTTCTCAGATAAGTCCCTTTAACATTGCATATAATAGGGCTTGGTAATGATGAATTCCTTTAACTTGACCTTATCTGAGAAGCACCTTATCTGCCCTTCCATTCTAAATGAAAGCTTTGCTGGATAGAGCAATCTGGGGTATAGGTCCTTGCCTTTCATGACTTGGAATACTTCTTTCCAGCCCCTTCTTTTGAGAAATCAGCTGACAGTCTGATGGGAACTCCTTTGTAGGTGACTGTCTCCTTTTCCCATGCTGCTTTTAAGATTCTCTCCTTATCTTTAATCTTGGCTGATGTAATTATGATATGCTTTGGTGTGTTCCTCCTTGGGTCCAACTTTGGGTCTCTCTGAGCTTCCTGGACTTCCTGGAAGTCTACTTCCTTTGCCAGATTGGGGAAGTTCTCCTCTATTATTTGTACAAATAACTTGTCCACTTGTTGCTCTTCCTCTTCTCCTTCTGGTATTCCTATAATTCAGATGTTGGAATGTTTAAAGATGTCCTGAAGGTTCCTAAGCCTCTCCTCATTTTTTTGAATTCTTGTTTCTTCATTCTTTTCTGTTTGATTGTTTGTTTCTTCTTTCTGGTCCACTCCATTGATTGGAGTCCCAGTTTTCTTCCCATCACTGTTGGTTCCCTGTGCATTTTCCCTCATTTCACTTAGCACAGCCTTCATTTTTTCATCTAATTTGCGGCCAAATTCAACCAATTATGCGAGCATCCTGATCACTAGTGCTTTGAACTGTGCATCTGATAGGTTGGCTGTCTCTTTGTTGCTTAGTTGTATTTGCTGTGGAGCTTTGATCTGTTCTTCTGTTTGGGCCTTTTTGTCTTGTCCCACCTGTTACACATGAGGGGTGGAGACTTAGGTGTTCACCAGGGCAGGGCAACCCAGTTGCTGGGTTGTGATGCTGTATGTGGGGGCAGGGTCCAAGAGGGAACAGTGGTGCTTGCTCCTCTCTCTGTCAGCTTTCAGTCCCTTCCGCCACTTCCCTCAAGCAAACTGGGACCTTCTGGTACTGATTCCCATGTGGGTGGGCTTGTGTACATACCAGGACCCTGTGGGTCTCTCCAACGAACTCTCCTGTGAGGCTGGGAGTCTCTCCCTGTGCCTCAGCACCCACAGGTGTTTTCAATTGGTGTTTTGAGGCTTTATTTCCCAGCGCTGGGACCCTGGGTTGTGCGGCCTGTCCTGCTCCCCACTTCGCCAGGTTTATCTGTGCGTGAATGTGGGACCGCCTGGTCAGCTAGCCACCTTGCTTGCAGTGCCTTGCTTCTCAATCGCTGCCTCGCTGGGTCTGCGGGTTGCCACCCTGTGCCTAGGGTCTGCCAGCCACATGCGCACCCAGGGTCAGCCTGTTGCTTCTGTCTTGCGTGCCCGGGGTGCCTTGCACGCCTGTGCCACCGCTTTTTGTGCCACGACCCCTCTCTGCCTGGCTGTCTGACTCCGCCCCGCCTACAGGTCTGGATGAATGTGTGTACTTTAACTCCTTGGTTGTCAGACTTCCATACAGTTCAATTTTCTGTCAGTTCTGGTTGTTACTTTGTTTCTAAATTGTTGTTGTCCTTATTTTGGTTGTGCAAGGAGGCACAATGTGTCTGTCTACGCCTCCATCTTGTCCAGTTCATCGTGGTTTTGATTTGGATTTCCCTAATGACTAATGATCTTGAGCATTTTTTTATGTGCTTGTGGCCATTAGTATGTCTTTGGAGAAATGTCTGTTCAAGTCCTTTGTTCATTTTCTAATTGTGTTATTTGTCTTTTTGTTGTTGAGTTATAGGACTTATTTATAGATTCTAGATACTAGACCCTTATCAGATACATGCTTTGCAAATATGTTACCCCATTTGATAGGCTGCTGTCTTTTCCCTTTCTTTATAATGTCCTTTGACATACAAAAGTTTTTAGTTTTTATGAAGCCCATTATAGCTTGTTTGTTGTTGCTTGTGCTTCGGCATCATATCTAAGATGCATTGCCCCTATGTTTTCTCTTAATAGTTTAGTTTTAGCTCTTATATTTAGGTTGTAGAGCTGTTTTGAATTAATTTTTTATACGGAGTGAGGCAGGGGTTCAGCTTCTTTCTTTTCCATGTGATCATTCAGTTTAGTCGTCCAGCCCCACTCGTTGAAAAGACTATTCTTTCTTCTTTGAGTGGCTTTGGTACCATGTTAAAAATCAGTTGACCATAGATGTTTACATTTATTCTGGACCCTTGGTTCTATTCCTTTGTCTGTATGCCAGTACCATCTTGTTTTCATTACTATAGCTTGGTAGTAACAGTTATATCTAAACAATCAGAAGTGGGTGGAAGTGGGAATATAGGCTTTTTGCATGTCTTCCATGAACTTCAAGAGGGGAGTGGCCTTGCTGCCACTGAGTTGGTAAAAGCTGTGGCTGCATTAGGGCTCCTTGGACACCACCCATGGGGGTGGAGGGAAGGCACGTCTTCCCTGCTGAGGGGTGGAAGTCCAGGTTTCGTGCTGCACTGACTCTGGTAAGTGGGGCTCATCATTGCTGAGTAGGGATGAAGACCTAGCTCCCTACTTGGCCTTCTCTTAAATCACCCACTGAGGGGTTTTGGAGTGCATCATAACTTGGCAGGGGAGGAAGTATAGATCTTCTACCTGGTCTTTACTCATGTATCAGAGGGATACAGTTACAATTTTTTCCTTGATGTTTGTCTGGAGTAAGACTGTTATGGTTGTCAGGTTTTCTCACATGCAAGGCGGTTCCTTTTTTGGTCCTTTGGACAGAGTAGGCTCTTTGAGGCTTTGCCCACTGGCATGTCTGGGTTGCCTGCTTCTCTAGTCTTGGGTCCCCTAGCCAATCTGCTTTCTTCTCTCCACCATTAGTGTTTTCTTCTGTGTGTTTCACATATATGAGGAGGACCCCTCCCAAAACCTAATTATATTCTGGAGGGTGGGTCCCTTGTAGTGCAGGCTTCTTCCCCTAGGTGAGTGTTCTGGGAACTCATC